CACCACCATGTTTTATTTCTCACATTTGATACCAAATGAAATATAACAACGGTTAACAGTTATTCTTAAAAAGATGAAGCAGAGACTGCATTAAACAAAATAGAACACAATCCTGCATAATTAAATAATTTAAATTAAAAAAAAAATCAAGATTTTTAAAAAAAAATTTTTTTCCAGTGAATGACCAAACACACCAGAGAATATACAGTAACTCTGCCTGGGCGTACATGCTCTCACTGATCATCCTCACAAATACAGAGAGTCATATTTATGGTAAATGGTAAATGGCCTGTATTTATATAGCGCTTTACTAGTCCCTAAGGACCCCAAAGCGCTTTACATATCCAGTCATCCACCCATTCACACACACATTCACACACTGGTGATGGCAAGCTACATTGTAGCCACAGCCACAGCCACCCACATATTTAGTTGCTATTGTACCCACAAATCCTGATCTATTGCATTTCACAACTTTCTAATTGCTACAACATGTGTTTATTAAGTTTTCACCTGCAATTGCTATTAAACTTACTGCTCGATGTTAGTCATCACCACCGACACGATGATGGAGGTAGAGGCAAGGGGAGGAGTGGGGCGCGTCAGGTTGTGGAGTGTTAAACCCCCTGTGGTCCGTCTGGAGGACGGAGCAGAAATTAAAGTCTCGCTAATTAGCGAGCGATAAAAATAGTTGTGGAAACGGTCGAATCTGGATCACAGTTTGCACACCGCAGCCTCAGTTCTGACACCACTGAGCTGCTGTCTGCTTCACATACAGAGAAGTCAAAACGCCTTCATCCAAAGTGCTAAAAACATACTGCGCCTGGACTGTGAGAGTAAAATATGAATATGTATTTAAAACCATCGGTTTGATATATCAGGTACAAACACAGTCTGCGTTTCAAGTTTGGGTATTTTCATTTGACAATAGCATAAAAAGTGTATTTGAATATAATTTTACTCAGTTAATGATGGAGGTGAAACAGAAAGAATGTAGTAAAAATGGATATCTCAGATATCTCTCTGCAAAAGAAATAAGAAATCCAGCCAACAATGAGCTGCTCCCGACCTTGAACACATCACTACAAATTCTATTCTCAAATGGAAAAATATATTTTATGTCAGAAATAAATGGCTCCATGCATTAGCAGGAGACGGTGTTACCCCAAAGCTTCATTTTTGTCTTGGTTTAATAAAAGAGATTGCATGATGAGATTAACCTGTGACCTTTCCTTCTAAAAGAAAACAAAAGATTGATGCATTTAATAAATGTAAATACATCACAGGTCAGCTGCATATCTGCAAACAAATTTGCAACCCATCTCTTTTCATGCCTTAATGAATAAATGATGCCGGTGAATGACGGTAATTCCCTGAGATGTGCACGGTTTAATTCTCCATCTATCAGAAAAAAAAAGTGTGGAAACATGTTGCTTTGTACTCGTAATAGTAAAAAGTCTTGTTTGATCCGATTTTTTTTTTTTTTTTGAATTTTTACGAGTCTAAAATTTGAGTAAAGGACTTCCAGCTCCCCTCTCAGGGGGATTTATAGATAAAACATTATCACCATCATCATCTGCATCAAACTGACTGAAGGGCCTGCAGAGACTTCTTGTCAACAGATTAGGAATCACTCGAAGAGAATTGTCCTCATCATTAATATGTGCATAACATGAACGAGCCGGCACGCCGCCACTGCTGATGAACAATGAGGCCGTTTCATCTTCATCTGAGTGTGACTGTGATGAATATTCAAACGAGGGAAACTCGGCTTTAAACGGTACACAGTGAGCCTCTTAGCTAAATCAGCGCTCGCTCCTTTATTAACATACTCGAATCTGTAATTATGCCCTGTTGCATGTTAGCTTTGCACAACACCACAAAAGATGTGACAAAAGGAAAGCACTGATGCTGTGTGATCAGAACCGCAAGAGCATATTTGCATTTATATAAGAAGCAGCTGAGAGTCAGCGTGTTCACTGTAAATACACTGGGAAAAAAAGGCAAAATCATCCTGTTATTCACCTAATGAATGAGTCTAAAGTATAATAAGTGCAGTAGTTTTTCCTCCAAATATATCCCAAAAAGCCTCATTGCTGTTTACAGTCACCAGATCTCAGAGCTTATTTACTTGTGAGAGATACGCGAACATCGTGTTGGACAGCATCATCGGAAAAACCTCGCTCAGTTGCAAAGAGACCTGAATTTGTTCTGTTAGCAGGAGGTTACCCAGCATTCTACATCCTGTGCTGTTTTTGCTTTTAGCCTCTTAACATCCACCCAGAATCTTCTGTTGGTGCACATAGGGCCAGGTAAACATCCACCCCACCCAACCCCCTTTCAGATAGGTAAGGCTGAATTGAATTTAAGAAATATAATTTTCCAGTTAAATCCACTCATTTAGCACTTGGATAAAACATAATCAGCACTAAACAGGCTTCTGGTCCACATTAGAGAAGGTGAGTACCTCAGCTTACATAATGGCCAACAGAGGAGAGGAGAAACTCCCTTTGAAGAGAAAGAAACCTCCAGCTGGAACAGGCTCAGGATGGGAATGGTCTGCTTCGCCTGGCTGGGGTGAGTGGAGCAGAGAAAGGAAGTGAGTAACAGCACACAAAGACCTAGAAGGTTCAAGGGGCAGATCAGAAATATGCTGCTCCAGGCAGAGAGAGCTGAAGTGTACACAGGGAGAAACAGAACCTAGAGGAAAAGCAAAAACTATGAGAGAAAGTTAACAGCGTGCAGCCATGGAATATGAATGCATGAAGAGCAGTGTTGGTCAAGTTACTTGAAAAAAGTAATCAGTAACTAATTACTGATTACTTCCCCAAAAAAGTAATCCTGTTACTTTACTGATTACTTATTTTCAAAAGTAATTAATTACTTAGTTACTCAGTTACTTTTTAAAAAACACGATTTACAACCTGAATAGGTGATAAAGTGATAGATCTCTCAGCCCAATTCTACTTTTTCTACATAATCCATCATACAGAATGTAATCAAATGGAAAAGTCCCTTTTTAAAACTTTTTTTATTAGTTTTAATCTTTTAACTTCATGCATCAAGCAAAAATGTAATTATATGCAACATTCACTGACTGGAAGAAATTTGTTTAATATTTAAACCTATTTTCTGCACATTCCAGCACATAATTTTTTTTTGTGTTTACACTCAGTCTTTCAAATAGATGCAAGTAAAACACAGCAGAAAATAAATAAATCAAAGACTAGCGGTCCTGTTGCTCTATTTTCACCTGTAAAGCAGGAGTGGAGTAGGCGGAGGTTTACCCTGGTGCAGGTGTGCCGCAGCGGTCAGTGGAAGGATACGGCAGTTTCTCTGTGAATTTCCCATTACATGGTAGCGCACTCGGTGCTTGCTTGGAAGTTTAGGGGGGGTTTTTTCGCTGTAAAAATAAGTTTTCTTCCCACGCACAATGCTAATGGACGCTAATGTTTCTGTCACTTTTTATGGAATCAAACTTAAAGTAAGGTCAGTACTTCCACACTTTAAACGCTGCACGCTCATACTCTCTCCCATACTCGATATATGATCCACTGTTGATCTGCACACAGCTGTTGTCACAAACGTAGCACTTGCTTACATGAGACATTCTCGCAAAAAAAAATCACAGTTTTAGTAACGCAGTAACGCAGCGTTCCTACGGGAAAGTAAAGGTAATCTAATTACCGTTTTTGCAATAGTAATCCCTTACTTTACTCGTTATTTGAAAAAAGTAATCGGATTACCCATCTCTGATGAAGAGTGACAGAGAGAGGGAGGAGCAGTGTCCTGCAGCGTTTATGACACAGGTGCAACAATGAGTTCATTATGAAAACCTCTGACAGAAACAGGTTCAGGTCTTGATCATCTAGATGGGAGAAGATGTTCTTTCACATAAAAGAACCATTTTTAAGTATGTTCCAGAACAAATTCTTCTTAACCAGCACACCAGAATTTAAATGCCCCGATACAAAGTTTAGATGGTAAATGGACTGATTCTTATATAGCGCTTTTCTACTCTCCCGGAGTATACAACATGCCACATTCACCCAATCACACCCATTCTCACAAGCACTTTCTCTATACATAGTGCTTTCTAAGTGCATTCACACTCCGATAAATGCATCGGAGAGTAACTTGGGGTTAGTATCAAGGATACTTGACATGCAGACTGGAGGAACCATCAACATTCCGATCAGTAGATGACCTGCTCTACCTCCTGAGCTACAGCCGCTGATGATGATGTACCCATGATAGAATAGCACGCTGACAATCACAGCTCGACACTGCTGGTGTCTCTTTTTGTGTCTGTGTGGAGATGCATCAGTTTATGGACACAGTGAGACGAGCAGCACGGGACCCACTCGTCACCGACGGTAAACATTCAGTTCAGTTTTATTTATACAGCATCAAATCACAACAACAATTGCCTTTATATTGTAAGGTAGACCCTACAATAATACATAGAGAAAAACCCAACAATCATACGACCCCCTATGAGGATGCACTTTGTCGACAGTGGGGACGAAAAACTCCCTTTTAACAGGAAGAAACCCTAACCAGCACCAGGCTCAGGGAGGGGTGGCCATCTGTCGCGACTGGTTGGGGAGAGAGAAGGAAGACAGGATAAAGACACGCTGTGGAAGAGAGCCGAAGGTAAAGTAAGTGAAAATAAAAAAGTAAAAAACAAGTGCAAATGAAACTAAATCAAAACAAAGTGAAGTTGCACACACACTCTAAGAAATGAAACATGGGCTTTTTTAAAATTAATTCTTAGTTTTATGTTCAATATACTTAAAATTGTTAATCTTATGGGTGTAATTAATATTTTTAAATTTGATTTAATTAATTCTATACCGTTTTAATGTTAAATAATATTGATATTTCCAATTTATTGAACACATTTAATTAAATCCAAAGAGCCCTTTCCACATCCTTTCTGAGCATGCGCAGAGAATGAAAAAAAAATCTTCGCGCATACGCATTGACCTTCTTCATCGACGCCACAGTGTGCTTTGGCCACGTGTCTGGAAAGAGGGATTAATCACGATTCATCCGTTGGAGTTAAGGTAATTTCTTCCTATTTTTAATAGAATATAATTTAACTAGTACTTTGTGATAATATATGGCGTATATTTTTCCGGTAAATATGTGGGCAGTATGTGTTCTGTAGGTTGTAGCATTTTGCTAGCATTGGAAACATTCATTTGCATATTGTCTCATCTGCGTTTAAAATTTCATTCGAACTCCGAATAGCACACTTATTTTATTTGTTTTATTGCACTATCAAGTTAGGAGAACGTTAGCCCGAACAAGAATTGGGATACATGTGCAGTGATTGTCGACGAGTCCATACTCTGTTTCACTGAAGAGAACCGCTAGCTGCGTAGTTTGCATATCTTCGCGCATCAAGTCTCAAAGAGACCTCTGAAGGTGACCCCTGCTTGCCCCCAAAAATAAAATCAAGTATACTGGGTGGTTATTGCTCCGTTTGTTTGCTACGGTGTCAAAGATATTGCACTTTTACTTAATAGGTCATTGAGAGTTGAAGAGCCCCCCCCCCCCAAGCAAAACGACAACGGCCAAAAATAGGCCAAAACATGCCACAAAATGCTCTGCTTGGTTAGTGCTTGTTTGCCGGTAAAATGAACATTTGTGCTGCTACGGTTAACCGGTTATTAATGTTTTATTTTTCCGCGATGACGTCACCGGCGTCGAGCACGCTCCCCGTGCTTACGGGCGCGAGTGAGCGTCCGGGTGATGTAGAAGTCGTAGGAAATGCTCGCTCGCACCCGAGCATTTTGTGGCATGTTTTGACCTATTTTGGGCCATTTTCGTGTTGCTTTGGGGGGGGGACTCTGAATGACCTATTAAATAAAAGTGTAATATCTTTGACACCTAGCGATACAAACGATGATTTTACCAGCACAAACCGATACAAACGGAGCACTAGCCACCCAGTATACTTGATTTTATTTTTGGGGGCAAGTGGGTCACGTTCACAGACTGGGCTGCTCCGGTATATAATGGTAAACATGCTCACAGGAACAGATTTATGAAATGAGTAATAGAAATTTTGGAGCATTTGAAATTTAACTTGTATTATTAATACATTTTAAAAGAAACAGGATTGTTCTTAAGTTTAGACCATCTCTGTGCTACCCCTTTGCATGTGTCTCACTGTACACGATTAATTTTTTCTGTTTTTCTTTTTCTCTCAGGTTGCTGGTTGTGGAATTTGGAGCTGCGGAGATTTGAGCTGTGCTCCAAAAGTGCATGTTGAAGGTCCCTAATGCTTTCATATTATTTACTTTTTCCTTAATACGCAATTTTACATTTTGAATTCTCTTATTTGGTCTTTTAGGTTATCACCACAGTTCCACTGCTGTCCACATTCATGAGCAGTCTTGACCAGTACTCTGACCAGTTGATGAAGATTCTACGAAAAAAAGGAGGGGAAACAGCGCGGCGGATCACAGCAGCGTTGTCTGCAATTTCACAGGTATTCTGTCTTGTTATGTTCTGTAACTAATAGATTAGTTGCAGGTTGATCTCAGGTCTGGTTATTAACCTGTATTTTTAACTTTCTTGGGTCATTTTATGCTTGTTCTCTCCTGCGTTATACTTCTCATCTCGCTTTTGGCTTATATTCTGGACTTGGTCCTGACACAAAGCAGAACTAAGTAACTCATGCCCCTAGAGGCCATAAGTGCCGTTGCTAGCTTTTTTCTTTTCTTTTTTTGTTACTCATTAATTGTCCAAAGGAATAATTAGCTACACTGAGAAAAGACAAAGGCAGACAACATTTCACATTTCGCCACAACTCAGTGACACAGTAGATTATTTTTTTTCACTCAAACTTGGTATAAATACTGCAAATGTGGTGGTAGCCCGCATACCTCATATTAACGTGACAGTGTGTAGTTTTTTGTCATTAATTTTTGGAAATCTCTATCAAAATGTTTTTGATTCCTTTGAACAGTACTCCTATGCAACAACACTTATCTTCCTTCTTTCGGGTGGTACACCACGCTAAAGCTGCATTTTCCACGACCCAATGTATCGCAATCAGTGTAATTGGACTCATAACTTATAATCTTTATGGGAATGAATTGGTAAGCTTCTCATTCTCTAACACAAAAAACTACTTGCTTGCAAAAAGCATGTTTAAAATTACTTAAACAATTATGAATTGGTTAAAAAACAATAAAAATTGACTTAAGTTCTGTGGGGGTCTCTAAAAACTTCAAAAAAGTAATTGCGCTGCATGTGTTGTTGTTTAGAGTTCCCGAATCGAAGTGAAGCGTGAATGCATCCTTAAAGCTGTGATTATATACCTGAATGAGAACCCTGAAAATCTCATCAAAGAGTACATGGTAAGTTTATTTTTAAAGGGATATTCCACCCCTCAGTAAAATTTTGACTGTCATAATTCCCAGAGTTTTGTAAGTTGAAAAATGTATTTTCTAAACAAGCCCAGGCATTCTCCTGTTCAGGCAGTAATCAGTTTTCTTTAAATTAGCTTACAACAATAAAGTGCATGGGAAATACTAGGATTTTGTTTCCATTCACTTACATTGTTTTATGCGAAACTAAAGAAAATGACCCTGGTCAGCAGAATATTGATAATATTATTAATGCATACTCCTTCTGCCCTCTGTCCATGTTTCATGTATCTTCTTCTTGGTCTTTATTTGGTGATAGTCTTAAATCCACATTTTTCTTTGGTCTGTTCTCAATCTCATTCAGGGATATGTGTAATTAAGATAGTGTGGACCATTTTAACTAAAATGGAGTGAATAGATAGATGATGCAAGGACCAAAATACAATGGATTTAAAATATTTCTGTCCTTTTCAGGATTTCAACGTGATGGAAGCTGAAGAGCTTGAGAGGATGGATTTGGCGTGTTTATAAAATAATCCATGAAGGAGCACAGCCTGATTACTCCCTTGAAGATGTTGGCATCATTATCGAGAGATGCACAGTCTTGCAGGATCTTCACGATGTGACGAGCGGGTGTGCACTTTTGTTTGGGCTAATTTACTGCCTCAATCTGAGTTACCCAAAGCCACTTCGCTACACATTTGAGTTCTTCCAGAAGGTGCTCATGGGGCTGGAAGACAAAAAACTGTCTAACAAAATACAAGTGCTGAAGAACAAACTCTGCCAAAAGGAGACGCAATGACTCTTCTAGATTGAAATGTCTCCCAAAATAAGTGCTCTGTTTTACTGTTTAAAAGTTTATAAATATATATATGTTGATCCTTGTTTGTAAATATTTTGTCATAGTTTTTAATATTTAGGAGATTTACTCTTTTGATTGTGGAAAAGAAAACATAATTCAGAAACTGAGTTTTTGGAACTGAGGACAAAATTACGCAGATGGATATATTTTCTTGTTTCACAACATTTTCTTCAGTTTGAGTTGCTGTGGTAATTCTGCAGACTGTAGCCATTGCAGACCTACAACTGTAGATCCTGAAATCATCCTACTCCTCACTACACTGTCACTTAGTTGAAACTGGAAAGTTGTTTCAGATGTTTACATTTTATTTTACACACTTCGCTTAATGTTGCATTATGCAGTGTTGTTTCCCTGTTTAAGCTTTGCCTCATTGAAGGCTTTTGTTCAAGTTGTTAAAGCAACACAATTTTTTTTTTTTTTTGTATTTACACTTCATATTAGTTCTCGTGTACCAGGTTTCCATTGTAGGTCAAGGATCTTGAGTGTTATAAATGTTAAAGTGTATGTGCAAACAAATGTGAAAAGGTTCTAAGGTTTTCACCTGTACTCAAGTTAAGTACTGGATTTTTGGTCTTAGCATTTAATTAAGAATATTTTGAGATTTGCTATATGCATTTTTTTATTGTAAAATTTATTATATAATAGAAAACTTATAATTCTGAATCCGATTTTTGGAACTGGGGACTAAATCGTTTTTACCTTTTTGTGTCACTTAACTATTTTCTGTACTGTAATTGCATTATACAGTGATTTTTAAGTTGCTGTGGTAAATTATAAAGTCAGTGGAAAGAGATAAGGCTAGGGGAATAAGTTTATGTAGAGATAACATGCAGTCGGTCCTGCAGTCTGCTCACTTCTGCAGGTAATTAGAAAAAAGTCAAAATGTTGAGTTACTCTATACTGTCCTGCTTCTTTCAATAAAAGGCTCACCTATTTTTCCATTTGCCAGGGGGAATACCAGAGGAGATATAAAAAGATCTGCTGACTTCCCACCCTTCCTTTTCTACTCTGTTTTACTGAGATCTGGTGCTGCAGCCACAAAGTTTCAGTAGTGTTTATTAAAATTTGCAGATGATGCCCTCAGGGGCCACTCCCCCATGGGGAGGACACTTAACCACCCACGAGCAGCAGCGCTGCCTGCTCTTTGCCTGACGCTGTGCTTCTGCAGAGCCATCGAGGTTTTTCGTGAACGTGTTAATGCACCGTCTGGAGCGTTCACCCACCATGCGAGCTGCAACGACTGAAAATCACATCGCTGTGTGCAATACAGCATAAGCACAACCTCTGTGGATCATGCAGAACAAGACATTTAAATGTAATCATAAGCATTTTGAGTCTTCTAACACCAAGGCAAACATAACGGCTTTCTGGTGAAAATAACTGCAGATATTGTTCGCAACTCACACTTATCTTTGTAGCATCCTTTGCCATCTCCTCCTCAGGAGCCACCTAGGAAAAGTGACAAACATTAGCAGAAGGATCTCAGTTTGATTGGCTTTCTAAAACTAAAAGTGAAACACATGTACCAGAATACAGAACTGATTATGTTTCTTGTTGTTCTTAGTGTGCCAGTTAGATACTGAAGCCCACATACAGTACTACAGTCAATATTTCACAAACACACAAATCAACATGAAATTAGCGAAGGTTTTTTCAAGTTTTTTTGGAGGAAAACTTCAGTTGTCGTGGGATAAATACCATCATAATATGCAGTTTTGTGCAGATTTTTGGCTCCTTCTTGGTAAAGAAGAAAAAGGAAGAAAAAAAAAATAAAAAAAAAAAAATAAGTTGCTGTGGTAAATCTGCAGATCTGACTATAATCACAGTTGTATTGAATTTGACATCTTACGGCACACTACAATGTCACTTTGTTGAAACTCGGAAAGTTGTTTCCAATGTTTAAATTTTGGTCATGCACTTTAAGCATTTAATATTGCCTTATGCAGTGTTGTTCCCTGTAGAAGCTTTGCCTTGTCAAGGCTCACCGTAAATAAAGTTGTTGATGCAGCACCCTTTTTTTGCATTTACACTTTATGTAAGCTTTAGTGTAAGAGTTTTCTATTGAAGTGCAAGGATCTTGAATGTTATAAATGGTAACTCGTGAGCAAGTGTAAAAAGGTTTTTGAGTTGTCACCTGTACTCTGTAGTTAAGTGTTAGACCTTTGCTGAAGACCTCTGAAAGGTCCAAACACCTAATTACAATGTATAGATGACAACTCAGGAACCTTTCTAGACTTGTTTTGTTGATACCTAAACATTTAGCATATAGATGAAACTATTAATTAAATCATAATTAATCAAATTAATTAGGTCCAAAACGCAATCTAAATGGTGCCATTAAATTCAAATTAATAATGTCAATTGAACCTAAAGCAATACAGTTAATAAAATGAACAAAGTGTTTAAATTCTAATTAATGGTGTTAAATAGTAACAATGAAAGGAAAGCTGTTGCTTTTATAGAACAATTTCACTTCTGATATACATCACCATTGAAATTGCAGATAACAACCATATTGATTTATGTTCAATTGACCAGGTTTTGTGGAAAAGATTGCCTTAACTTTGTCAATTAAATCCAACGTTTTATTTCTTAGAGTGCAGGACACCGAGCCACAGCTGACATAGCTGTTAAATAAATAACTTGCTAATAAAAACACATTCTCAAATCATGTGCATTACTTGAATGTTCAGATAAGCTTTAAATCGGCAGGGGCAGAGATTACAGCAATAAAAAAAATAGAGCCACGAAGGACATTTAGAACTCGACACCTTCAAATATGAAAACAGAAAATGGGAAATCAGGAGCCAGACTTCACCCCCCCATGCCAATGATGAAAATTCTGATATATGGTGCAGCCCAGAGACTACAACAGCCAAAAGGCATGCTAACAAACACAAAGAAGTAAAATTGTGTAAGTCCAACAGAACAAAAGTTGAATAGTAATGTTCAATGAATGTATAAGTAAGCAGTCCTTCCAAGTATACGGGAGCAAGACCCAGAGGCTTTTATATTTGCATTATCTTTATTTTAACATGTGCTTTTGCTCTTCAATTTAAATAAAAATGAGTAATTCTACTAAAACATAGAAAAATGATGTGAAAAAACATTGACACTTTCTTTTATCATAAGCTTAAAATAAGATTTCGGTTGGCTTCATGTTCACTCACAGCAATTCAAATCTAAAAGTGAACATAAACATCAAAGCGGACGTTCAAACCCTAA